CCCTTGATCTTTATTATTATCAGCTCAATCTTCAGATTGTAATGAGGTTTCTCTTTGTGTTTTTAGTGCTGATTTCAATCGTCTACTCTCAACATACTGAAGGTGAGACAATTTGATTCCTATATTTCATGACATATGACTGATTCTACAGTAACTGTTACAAACCAAGATATGTTTCTTACATTCTCTGTGAAATCAAAATCAAAACAGTGAGAGACAAGATCTTCTGTTGGAAAACTTGTTGAAAAACTTTCACAACTCATGTTTCAAAATTCCCAATGATTGTATATTGACAGATCTTTTATAAATGACTATAACAGCTTTAGAGAACAACACGTGAGTCTCATCTGATTTAGCATGTGTGTGTTTTAGACTCAAGTAACTGTTCATACAGTAGCACATTATTTTTATTGTGAATTGTTGCTGTTCTACAGAAACACCAAAACCCAAAGTGACCATCAAACCTGATGAACATGTATTCAGAGGAGAGACAGTCACTCTCAGATGTGACATATATAGTGAAGGAGTCACTAGCTGGGAGTACATCTGGAATAAAGATGGTTCATTCTACCGTGTCAGTGAACTACAGGAACTCCCATTCAGTCCTGTTACTGAGTTTGACGCAGCTAAATACTGCTGTTATAGAGCAGAGAGAGGAGGATCACGCAGCTCACGCTGCAGTGATGAAGTTACACTGACAGTATCAGGTGAGTTTGATCATCTCTTCACACACACACAAGTTTAACATGTTATTGATGAGTGATTTCTCAGCTTCAGTTCCCAGAGCAGTGTTAAGTGTTTCTCCACAGAAGTGGCTGACTGAAGGAGATTCAGTGACTCTGATCTGTCAGGTTAACGGCTCCTCTACAGGCTGGACATTCAGCTGGTACACTGAAACTGTCTCATCAGGTAAGATATAATGTGCTTCATGTAGTAACATCTGAATAAACTGGTTTCATAAAACATATTATAGAGATTAAAAATATTTAATCATTCTGAATACTCTGATTATACCAACAAAGGTTATTTATAAGACTCTCGTTTCTTGAGGTAACTGCACATTTTCACTTTATACAGACAACAGCAATCATTATAAGCGTCTCTCAGACAGCAGCAGAGGAGCTGGAGGAAACTACACTGTCAGTTCTGCTGCTCTAAAACACACAGGAGTTTATGTGTGCAGAGCAGAGAGAGGAAAACCAGCCTATAACTCAACCATCAAGAGAGAGGAAAACCAACCTATAACTCAACCATCAGCAACACACAGTTAATATGGGTCACTGGTGAGTTCAGACTGAACCACAGAATGACTGAGAAACTCTGAAGGTTTTCCTTGATCTTTTTAGAGCTTGATGTGTCTTGAAATGTTGTCCTGTCATAATATACAGCTACTTTTTAATGGTGTCAATGCAGTGGTGTACTGCACATCTCTGGGGCCCCCACGCAAAGAAGGCGATGGGGCCCCTCCCACCAGCAGTGATGCCATGCCACGTATGAAAATGTATTGTGCACCTGCTGCAATATACTACTGAGTCCGTCTCCCCATTTACATAACTGATTTAACAGTAATGAATGTGGAAAATTATCATTGCATTGATGCGTTTGATGTTATTATTGAATAACATAACAAATATGCGTAGTGATTTTTATATCGGTTTTTAGTCTGACTGAAATCTCTGCAGGAATAAATATTCAGTCTGAACGTGGAGGCAATAAAAGTGCCTCTGCTCCGATTTGATTGTTATTTTAGCAATAGCAGGAGGATCATTCAATAGTCTAATAATAATAATAAAAATAAATAAATAAATAATAATGATAATAATAATGATAATACACAAACATCTATTATAGATGTTATATAATAGACCCCGGTCTATTTATTATATTTAACAGTATAGGCTCAATACAATTGGTGTAAGCTGCAGAACAAGTCTTAGTTGGCCTATACAAGCATCACTAATTATAGAAAATAAGTTATGTAAGCAAAATTCATGTCGTGTAGTAAGAAAATGAACAGTAAAATAACTAGGAGAAAAAGATTAAAGGAATAACTCTACACTTTACGATATATGCTACATTTAAAGAACTACTTTATATTTAAAGAACTTCGCATACCAACTTCTGACGATCAACTGACATTATTTAAAAAAAATTTTAAAATGTTATTTAACATTATAAATAATATTAGGTTACACCATTAAAACTATAATTTAAGGGTAAGAACAAAAGCAAAATCGGCTGCCTATCTTGGCCAGGACACTCTTGGAAAAGAGATTTTAATCTCAGTCTTTTCCTGGTTAAATAAATAATACTACTCAAAGTAAATAGCTATTTAACATAGCCTATACAATTGTTTCTACTTTTTTTTTTTTTTTTTTTTCAGGCGGAGATTAATGCTTAACGTAAAACTTTGCGCGCTGCGTTCATATTCTGGGCTCTTCAGCAGTTTGACCTTTTAATATCACTGTCTTAATGCATAGCTAAGCCAGTTAAGTGTAAAAATAGGCTATGCACTCGATCACAGTGTGGTTGTCTTTAGAGGTAAAGTGTTTATGACAAATGAAATGTGAGAGAAGATTGATTTTACCTGGTTGCTGTTTTAGAACATTATTAAGCCACGTTAAGACTTTTTCACGCACTTTTCCACTCCATTGCACTACCTTTGCGTTCGCGTCTCGTGTCGTTTGAGGTTTCTTGAGCATGACACGGCATTCTAAAAACGCATCAAAATAGTTTTTTTCCCCCAAAATTCCACTGCCGCGTCTTGCGTTTTTCAAAGCAAAAGCACATTCTACGTGGTTTGTGAATGCATTTTAGAATGTCCTGCGGCGGGGCCCTCCAAAGAGGCGGGGCCCCCACGCACCACGGGGGTGTCCCGTACGCCACTGTGTCAATGGAGAAAGATGCTTTTGCTGTCAGGTGTAGTTACTGCATCTACTAGCAGGGCCTAAATAGACCAAACTAACCAGCACAACTGAGCTGAGAACAAGCTGTTCTCTTGCGCTGCGCGGTTTAATCAGGTAACTTAGTGCCATTTCATCACTTGACTTTTAGTGTTTGTTTCCCATGCGCTACAGTAAAGCCGAGGTGATTAAAATATACCCGCAACTCTAGTGTAAACGAGTACAAAGACAATTTTATCACTCATATCTTTAGGACTGAAATAGCGCAGACACTAATATGTGGGGGTGTGGTGGGTTTTCGGCAATCGGCACACCAGGAAAAGCTCGGGTGCTCCCGATGGCCAATCAATTCTAGGTCTACTTTTCCTTTCCTCCACAGCCAATCACATCGGGCCCCCTCAATCCGCGGGCCCTGGGGCTTCAGCCCCGCCTAGCCCTATGTTAATCCGGCCCTGGCTACGGGAGCAAATTCAGCAGCTGTTACATCTTGTTGGTCCAACTCGACGGAGCTACCCCCTAAGCCCCGAAATTCAGCTGCTGGCGGCTCTCCGTTTTTATGCTGTGGGGTTTTCTAGAGGTGGTTGGGGATGGATATGGGCTGAGTAAGACCTCGGTGTGGCGGTGTGTTCACTCAGTCACAAACATCCTGCTCCGTCACGCCACCGATTATATTATATTATATTCGCCAGGCACGAAGTGATGGAGGCACATCAAGACTTCCATGCCATGGCGGGTGTCCCGTGAGTAATTGGCCTTGTGAACGGGACACTTATCCCCATCGCCAACCCATCAGCGCTCGACCAGGCCTTCATAATATATATGAACATGATAATATAAATGACCCTTTCAAAAGCAAGTTAAGCCAAACAGCTAGTTAATGTAGCTGGTTAAGGCAGAATACTTTTGGCTGTGAGGTTGCAGGTTCGCACACTTGCAAACTTATACATACATACATACATATATAAATATATATACAGTATATACTGTATATATATATGATATCCAAGGTTGCATTTAGTTTGCAATTTGGATTATTTTATAAATGCAGTGAGCCCCGGTAAATGCAATTTCTAATATTTCTAAAGTGCTGCTTTATAATGAACATCACTTTCTCAATACTTTACCCGCTCTATAACTCAGTGAAGGCGCTCCTGTATATAGTGAACAATCGATTCTAGAGCCATCGATATCAACCTATTCTGCACCACCGCCATGGACAGCACCTGCTAATGTCGCACGTGAGAAGGTTTACCTTAAGCAATATCCTAAGGTATAATTCGGGGAACACACCTAGGAAAGGTATACCCCTAGTTAAGGTATACCTTTAGAGTCTTCATAGCACGCTAAGAGACACCGTTATCGGAAAACGCAGCCCAGGACACTCCATCAATGTGCACATCAGCAAATTTTATAGGATGGACCATATAAACATTTAATCAATCATTTTAGAGTTTGATTAATATCTGCCTACTAATTATATCTTAGTAATTTAATATACAACAAACTCAGCTAACTATAAATACTGGTTCACACTGTATAGGCAAAGAAGAACTGACCCCTGAGTTGAGTCTGGTTTCTCCCAAGGTTTTGTTTTCTCCAATAGTAGCACCTTATAGAGGTTTTTGTTGGCTGTCACAGTTGTCTTTGGCTTGCTTACTGATGGCATAATGACATATATTAAGGTGCAATTTTGTTTATGAATTTTAAATAGAAATACTCTGTGATGACTTATGGGTTTTCAGATATTAGAACTGTAATATTTATCTGAAAAGCTGCTTTGAAACAATTTAAGTTGTGTGAAGTGTTAAATCAATAAAACTGTCTTGACTTGATTTCCAGTGTAGTTG